GGGAGTCCTCCCAGAAATGGAATGCCTAGTTCAAAATCATGAAAATCTGTGGAGCTCAACCATCCTAGCCTTGTGTTTCTCGGGATCAGTACCTCCTCTGTGCCTGTGTTACACACAGCAACAGATGTGGTTCTGGAGTCTAGGCTCACTTGGCTTGCAGCCTCAATGGACAGTCCTAGTTTGAAAAACGTAGGAGATGGTTGAAAGTACGCTTGTTTAAGGCTAATAGCTTGTCCCGCCACGATGTGGACTCGTACCATTAGGTTTGTTACCTGAGGTGGTACTGAGGTGTGTTGGTTGGTAGCAACCTGGCAGACCTCTGGAATGGTCTGTCCAGCCATAAGGTTTGCTGTATCTTGCACAGGAAGATCCTTTTTGGCTGGTTTTAGTGACCACAGTACATTGTGGCTGGTGTCCACTTGGACACCTAATCTTACCAAGATGTCAGAGCCTATGTAGGTTGCATGTGGTAAGTCTGGGACCACGAGGAATGGGTGTACCAGTTTCCATTGGTTCCAGATCAGTTTCAGGTTAATGACTCCTTTCGCAGTCATCACTCGTGAACTGTTGGGATACAATGGAAAGCGGAAAGGTTTCTCGATCAGAACTGGACCCAAATATTTTTTAACCAATGTTCCGTAGAAAGCCTGGTTAATAGCTGATTTATCTGTCCACAGCGACAGTACAGCATCTTCGGTGTGGGATCCTTGGATCTCTACACCTTTAACTACCAATGGTAGGTAGTATCCAGTGGGCTCTGACTGTCTCAGCTCGCAGAGGAGGCTTTCTTGTTCGGTCAGAGTTGGGTCCATCGGTTGGGTCTCTTCGGTTTCACATGCTTTAAAGGCTTACTTACCGGGACTGTGTTCTCTGCTGAGAAGTCCTCGGTGCCTTCTGCGGGGCCTGCTGTTGGGCAGTCTGTGACTTTCTCAGGAGGCATGAGTATTGGCAGGGGTTTTCTCACTCTGGCCCACATTGTCTGTTCACCATAATCTATAATCGCTTCAAAGCGATTTATAAAATCCTGTCCAATCAAAAATGGGAATGAGTCAACCGTAGACACATGTACCAGGTGGTATATCTTGATGCATGCTCAATAATCCAGGTAGAAAAATCTAAAAAAGTTAAATCTGGTCCTCTGGACATTCAAAAAAAACACAAAACAAAGCAAATCAACAAAAAAATGTAGAAACGTTTCGTCTCTCATCCGAGAGACTTCCTCAGTCTGAGGAGCTATATTCAGCTCAGTCTCTTAAATAGCACCGTCTCAGAGTGGATCAACCAGTTTTGCTGCTGACAACCAAAACCAGCTGATCACATGCTCAAGAAGGACCATCAGCCTAACAATGGATCATTAGCACACTGGCTTGCACAGAAGATCAACATCATCAGGCCAGGACTCTGCGGTCTACACTCATCTCCAGGCCAGCGGTCACTCTTTCAGGGATGAAGATGTTCACATCCTGGACAGAGAGGAACGATGGTTTGAGAGAGGAGTAAAGGAGGCCATCTTTGTGAAAAGAAATCGTCCATCGTTAAACAGGGGTGGAGGCCTCCGGGTTCAACTGTCCCCCTCTTACAATGCTGTGATTGCTAGTATCACTCAGCCCTCAGTGAACAGTAAACAGCCATCAGTGTGCTAATGATCCATTGTTAGGCTGATGGTCCTTCTTGAGCATGTGATCAGCTGGTTTTGGTTGTCAGTAGCAAAACTGGTTGATCCATTCTGAGACGGTGCTATTTAAGAGACTGAGCTGAATACAGCTCCTCAGACTGAGGAAGTCTCTCGGATGAGAGATGAAACGTTTCTACATTTTTTTGTTGATTTGCTTTGTTTTGTGTTTTTTTTGAATGTCCAGAGGACCATATTTAACTTTTTTAGACCAGGTGGTATAGTGTCATCTCGCCAACCTGCATGTGAACCATAGCTATAGCTATTAGGGTTGTCCTTGTCTCTGCGAGGCCGTGCAGTTCTATAGCACGTTCTATGAGAGGTATTTCCCTGTGAACACTGTTATTTGCGGTGCTGAGCTCCTCGAACAGTTTGGCTGACATAATAGTTATGTCGGCTCCACCGTCCAGTAGGGCTTCATGTGTGAGGACCCTTTCAAGTGTGATCGACAGGTAAGCTTTTTTAGTGACCCCCTTTCTGATAAGGTTGCACAGGAACCTTGTAGGTTTTGGCCAACGTTTCTTCTTACGTTTACCTTTGCCTGTGTAATCCCGGTTTGTCCGAACCGTTGGTGCAGTCGCTGCTGCTCCTGAGAGTTTGGTTTTTGACGGGCCTCCGTCATTGATGTATGAGATCACCCGCTCACTGTGTGTTGAGGGGCTCTCATTGTTTGCAACAACAAGGTCCCGGTGGCTGTCCGTGACAGCGGCAACGTTGTTGTTTGTCACCTTGATTTGTCTGAACCGTTAGCACAGCTGTTGCTGTTACTGAGGTCTCAGTTTGTGACGGGTCACTGTCAGTGACGTGTGAGTGTACCCACCCTTTGTCAGGGTGGAGATTTTTGCTGAAAACGAACTTAAACGCTTCCTCTTCCTCCATGCCGGTTTCGTTCCTGTAACCAAAATAAGCCTGCAAAATTCTGGAATAATATGCCCTTGGGTGATCATTCTTACCTTGCATGACCTTGTCGGTGGCTGGATATCTGCCAGGTCCCGCGCAAGGGGTATACTCTTTGGTTAGAGCAGCACATAACAGTCGGTAATCCTTTCTTGTGGCATCAGGTTGACGCTCTATGAAGGAAAACACCGTCCTGGCTGAAGTGAGCCTGATCAAACCTATTTTATCCTCAACTGTAGCGTTGGGATAGTTTCTTAATTAGAAGTCAAGGTCTTGTAGATAGGCCTTAGTGTCGGTCGAACCCAACGGCCCTGGCTCAAAGCTTTGGACATATTTCGTTATTTATGCAATACCGCTATTGAGAGCGGAGGCTGAGGGATTGGTGGAGGCGGAACAAAATCATCACATGGAGGTGATTCACCAGACTCACGTAGAGGTGGCATAAGGAGATTATGTGTAGGAGGTACAGCAAAATCCTTCTGAGGTGGTGATTGTTGACCTGGACTCTGACCCAGTTTGTCTTTGAGTTCCAGACATCCTTGCCCCTCGTCAGAGATTTTATTTGTGGCTGCGGCAAGTTTTTCCTCACAGGCTGTTAAGCGTTCACGTGATGTATGACACTCACTTTGTAAACGCACGCCTTGTTGGACTAACGCCACTTCTTCCAATATGCACTCGTCCAGAGATTTTGATGTTAGCTGCAACCGTTGGTGCAGAGCATCATAGTCTGAACACAGTGCTTGGTACTTCATCCCTCCTTCACGCAGCTTTTTCTCATATGAGTCTGCTTGTAACAACAGCTGAGCTTGTGAGAGCTCTTTTTCACGTTTCAATTCATTCTCCCAGGTTGTGCTTTGAGTTGTAAACACTCATCAATTGTTGTTTCTTGGGACTCTGTCTCGCGTTTCAACTTTATTTCAAATGCTTCTGCCCTGTTGGCCTCAAGGTAAAATTCAGCTTTTAACAAGAGTGCTATTTTAGCTAGCTGTTCGTAGCTTGACTTTGTTATGGCTGTAGAAGTTACACTGCCTGGAACTTCTTTCAGCTTGTCCAATAACTCTGTTGAGTTCATGCGGTCCACCTGGTCACCGTATGGACATAAGGAATCTGTGAGCAGCTTCAGAGCTGTCTCAAGCCAGTCCTTTTCATCACATGGAACAACATTAGCATTCTCATATCCTGATGCATGCTCAATAATCCAGGTAGAAAAATCTAAAAAAGTTAAATCTGGTCCTCTGGACATTCAAAAAAACAAAACAAAGCAAATCAACAAAAAAATGTAGAAACGTTTCGTCTCTCATCCGAGAGACTTCCTCAGTCTGAGG